TCGTGAACCGAATTGTTCGTGAACAGAAGCGTTCGTGAACCGAGGTACCACTGTATTTATTGCATGGTCCATTATACACAAAAGCTATAAATGATCATTGGGGAACTTTTATCTAAAGAACTAGATTTTTTTCTACGGTATTCTATATTTTTTTCTGTGTAAGAAGAAAAACACATTAATAACTAGATTTAATAAAATTGTGACAGAAACAGTTGTATTACTCCTATGATTGTGGTAGAGATAAAGATTCTCATTTATTGCAGAGTTAATGGAAATGAGAAGTGGTATTCGTGTATTTTTAGGTTTTGGATGACTTTGTCTAGTACAGGTTCCTAGAACAAATGGCACTCTTTCTTCCTATGTTCAGTGGAAGAAATGGGTGCCTCATTACTATTCCATCAGATGCACTCATCCATTGAATGTTGGTGAAAGGAATAATATTTGAACAGGGCAAAGATGGAGAACTAGTGGACTTCAGGTTGGCCCCAATCCAGAAGGCCTTATCTATCCAACTGGCCCTTCCTCTTGACTTGTGTAATTTAAGAATAGCTATCAGTTTATATATAGCCAATATCATTTCTGCTGTGTATAGTCTATCCTCTTCATGTATTCTGAATTTAGTGAGAAACCTATAACTTCTCTTACGATTGCATTAAAATGCTTTTGAAACTGCCCAAAGTTTTAAACCTCATTTGCCAGATAGCCCAAATGGCAGCTGTTCAAAAAGATAAAGTGGATATCTACAGAGCTCATTGCATGATTCTCTAGATTGTCTCATTGATCTTGATGGATATAGTAAATACTTCCTGAAAGTAACAGACTTATCTTCAAGAGTTGATTCTTTTCAAGTTTTCATAAATGTGAAAAACAATGGAAAAATTGAAAACAATATTTTTATTACTAAGTAAAGATTACTAGCATTTTCTATATTTTTTCTTCTTGTACATTGTAGAACTAAACAATTCCACAGAAACTTCCTTTCCAATGGAATATTCAAAATTAAAAGAAAATTTTCAAAAATCAAATTTAGCAAATTGGCCTCTCCCTAGTTGCAAGAAAGTATTCAGAGTTATTGATGGTAAGTAAACTATTAATGATTATTTAACCTTAGAAATTCATCAACTTAAAGTTAAATGTTCAAGAATATGCATGACCTAATCATCTTATTCTTTATGAGGATTTGTTTTTTAATGAATTTGCATCTATGCCCATTCTAAAAATGATACCATAACCCACATAGTAATTGCAATAAAGAAAATACAAGTTGTTAACCTACAACTGAGTTTTTCTGAGTTTACACGATATGTTTGCATGCCTGGGTATGACACTATCAGAACATTCTAGCTGAGTTATTTTGGCAGTATGATATCCCACTCCAGTACATGTGCAGATATGCAACGGGGAGTCTCATGAATTATCTTATTTCCTTGACTAGATGCAGAACCTCAAGACAATTATTGCCTATGTGGTAAGAATGGTGGATTGGTGAATGCACAGATAACAAAGAGCCACAGTTACAAATAAGCAACATATTCTGAATTGTGGCTTCTGTGCATCATAAAGGCAGTAAGTAACAAAGTATGCTTACAGGATCTCAGTAGGCAGTTATGGAGGTTAGAAGATAGTATTGCTTACCTGCATCAGATCTTGCCTGTAAAACTGAATAAAAGTCAAGAATTGCAAACAGGTTATAGATCAACAAATATCCGATACCAGAATCTATTAAAAGGCAGTAGAAGCTGCAGTGGCTCCACTACAATGAGAGGTAAGCTTTCTGCTAGCTAGTACACCAGGTATATAATAGCTGTTGTCCAGCAAGCAAGGTATTATGATGAAATTGGCTGTCCTAGATGAAGGGATAAGAGGCAGAACAAGATACAAGATAGAAGAATAACTACAGCTAATGGTGAAGGCTCCACAAACATTGAGGGAATGAAAAGAAATCTCTAACAGTGTTAGAAGGTAGGTAAAGAAACAAATATAGATAAAACAGTGCTCTGAATGACAGTAGTGAGACACCATTTTAAGCAAGAAGGATATGCCAGGTTGCAAGAGAGGCTAAAAAAAATAGAAAAAAATTCCAAACCAGAACATGAAATTCTAAACTGGCAGCCCAATAAGCTTATAATAAAGTAAAGAATAATCCTTTATAATGCAAAAAAATTGAATAGACTTTTTGAATATTGGAAAGGATCTCAAAGCAACATAAGGGTTTGGTGCAGAAGAACATCAGGTGGCAGCACGCTTCTCCTATGGATAGGTATAGGAGTAGGCAGCGATCTGTGGATGTAGCTGTCACTTTCCTCCATAGTTTCTCTCAGGATCAAGTTAAAATTTCCTTTTTCCTGCTGCTGCCATCTATAGAGAGTTGTCTAACTTTATAATACTAAAAAGAAGTAATATGAAAGCTACAGTCTGTTATAGCCCTCTTCCTAATCTGTTTGATCTGTATGTTTTTGGGTTTATTAGCAGGCATTACCCAACTTGAGGCTGGGTTATCAAATGTCTTAGAGTTTAGTAGCTTAAAATATGCTTTTTATTTCATGACTGATGACAAATAAAAAGCAAGAGGTCTTCTGCTAATAGTGGTTCAGAGCCTTCCAGATTTTTGGTTGGCACTGTCAGTATGTGAATTAGTAAGTCAGTATGTGGATTAGACAGAATCTTGGAATCTGAGTCAGGCACTGGTTTAGCATTATTTGACACTCTATTCTAAAACATCCAAACTTTTTGTCCAGACTGAAACGTTCAAATGGAGAGTACCATTTCTAGCCATTTGATGTAAAACCCAGAACAGAACATTAATTAGGAGAGTCAAATTTAGTGTTCTCAGACTGAAAGTAGAAAGAACTGTTCTATGGTCTATGGTACATTTATTATTTTACCTTCAGGCAAAACTTACCAGAAGCAGAGACTTCTCTGAGGTACTCATATTTTAGAGAATCTTTGTAATAACAGAATTTCATCCTTTCAGAAATCTTTATGGGTGATCACTATGAAGCCCCAATCAAAAGAAGAGAAAAGTAATGCACTAACCTATGCACTGGCAGCTATTTGTTTACTAAGATCAAGATAACCATCACTGTATACAGCACTCTTCATAGTTCTAGAATATCTGCTTCAATAGCTATTGCAGTAATAATACCCTAAGGCCTAGAAAAATATAGGCCAATACTTTTCCTAACTTTTCCAGTTTTACACTTTCCAACTTATTCAAATTCAATATCTTTTTTTAATTGTTAGTTTGGGAGATCTTCTAAATACCTTTTTGAAACTTGGAACAGAAATGAAATGAAGCTGAACTCATGCCAAATACAGTTTAGAAGTCCTTCTGCTACCTTGCTTCCTAACCAATTGAAAATGATATATACAGTGGAACCTTGGGTTACGAACGCTTCTGTTAACGAACTTTTCGGGTTATGATCAGCTCTGGCCGC